CATGGCTCATGGATGCTGCTGATGTTTAGTGCCTATGCAAATATTGTCATAATAAAAAGTTTGTTTCTGTTACCACTCTTCTTTTTTGTAATCACATTACTTCCAAGATTTATTAAAGATTCAAGCAAACTTTTTATTTGTTGGTGCTACCAATCTGAAGTTTTCACAAAATGTATGAAATGTATGAAAAGAAACGAAAGCAGCACAAAGTGCATGGAATGCAACAAATGCAAGGAATGTACTATTTGTGATGAACATAAAGACGATGACTGTGGAGCTTGCATTAAATGTGATACATGCAAGCAACGTAAAGAATGTAAGGCAAAAATATGTTCTAAATGTCAAAAGTGTACATGTGATCAATGTCGAAGATGTAAACGTTGTAAGCACTGTACACTTTGTAATAAGTGTAAAAATTGTCCAGATTGCAAACAATGTTTTTCATGCAAGCTCAGGAATAAATTTAAGCTATGCAAAAAATGTATGGAAGAGAGAGAAAATCGCAAAAAGAACATTATAGCTATATATGGCTTCAGTGTCACTGTGCTAATTGCAATACCTCTACTTTTAGTGCTTCACTATGGATCTGACTACATTCTTCTTGTCACTGATATCCATGAAGACCCGCTTAAACTTTTACTAGCACTGGTAGTTATAGTGGGAGTTCCGTATTACTTGATCTTACTATGGGATAGTGGCAATGATAACAATGAAGGCAAAGACAACAAACTGATAGTCAAATTTAAGGATTCAAGTTGGCGGCTTGTGGTTGAGAACGAAAATGATCAATTACCTATTGGATCGCAATTGATCGTAAACCACCAATGATGACTGTGAAAGCTGAAGAGAATATTTACTGGTAGAATGCATGTACAATTTTTTGTCTGTTTTAGCTATTATTTCTAGGTATGTATAGCTTCTTGTGTTGTTTATTATTTAAATGTAATATTATTCCTTAAAATACTTTTTATTTTTGTGTTTAGTTACTTTGAATGAATAAGATTTTTCAAAATGAGCATAAAATTGAGTAAGAATTCAGCATCACCAGTTTAACACATGCATGATAAACTAGCTGTATCAATGGCATGCACCTATAGTGAGGGTATATACATGTACATGTATGGAAGCAATTTGGTTGACAATTATTAAGTACAGTATACCTGTTTGTATCAAAGAATCCCATTTCTTGTCTCATAATAGCAGCAAACAACTACAAAATGCAAATATACTAATCACTGATTAAATGAAAATGGATTGTCAATGTAATTTTTCACCAAAACTAGCTACAAAAGGTCTCAATTTTTAATCTACATGTAAGGCTGAAAAATTTAGTAATATCATGGTACTGTATAAACATATTGAAAGGTATATATTACTGTTTTAGCAATAGTAATATTGAAAATATAGCTTGATAAAACAGTAATTTATGGTATGGTGTACATTTTCTACTGCAAAAATGGCTACACTTATAATTATATCTGTGCTATTTCTACACCATCAGAATGACTTTTCAGCACTTTAGGAAACATTTTTGACACCAAATCGTTGTATAGCATGAATCCTGAAAAGTACATGTACATGTAGATATGCTACTTACTCAAAAGGACCTTTAAGAATAAGCATCATCACTTAATCATTCAACAAATAACATTTGACTTTAAATTTAAAGTATACTATAGTAAGGTATAATAATTTTAAAGAATATAGAGGTATTATACTAAATAATGATGCCAAGCCCTATCTACATGTATGTGTTTAATGCAGTATGTAGAAAATTTAAGCAACTATTTCTGCATCATTCACCAAAATGTATAAATCTAGCTACATGTAGTAGACTTCAAAATTATAATTTACAACTCACGTTTTTCCTTATCCTTGCCACAAATCTCTCTCCAGCTAATGTAAAGCAGATAGCTCTAAACATTGAAGCCAGTGACACTACAAGAAACAAACCAACCAGAACAAGTACCTCTCTACTCATCAACCCTAAGAGAAAATAGCATTAAAATAAATAAATAAATAAAGTAATAAATAAAGTAAATCAGATGATAATGGAAGCCTTACATAAGCTGCAGTGTGGTACTGGGCCAGTGACATTAATGACACCACCTTGAATCTCTTGACTATTGAGAGATGAAAAATATTAGAGAAAAGGAAATTGATAGGAAGAGAAGCAAGAAAAAAGAAAGAGAGAGAAAAATCAATGAAAAAGAACAAGGGGAGGAAGAGAGATAATTAAGAGAAAACAAGCTAACACAAGGGAAAAGTACAAAACAGGAAAGATATATGAAGAAGAGACATTCCTTTTACCATAATGTTTGGTTCTTAACAGCCAAATCAATAACATATCCAAATATATAAGGAATAATTCCTTGAATGGAGTTAGAAATCAGGAGCATTACCAACCCAAGAGATATAAGAGGATACTCCTAATTAAGAGGATACTAACAAGACTGTTTCAATATTTCACGCACTTACAGGTATGGCAAGTTTGACGAGTCGTTTCAAATCAGCTTTCTTTTTCTTAGGCTCTCCAGATTCATTCTCATTCTCATCCAGTATCAGTCTCAGTCTTGAAACGTGTATGAGTCGTCTCATGAAATAAAAACTTGCAAGACCCAGAACTATCTCTAGGGTGGGGCTGACCACACCCACTATACAGAGTATCTTGTACGTAATGTGAAGAGATGGTTCAGAGTCCTTCAGTAGTATCAGAGTTCCTTTAGTGAGGGCATAAGCTAGCGACATTAGAGACAGTGAGATGAACAGTACTTGACAGGTTTTTGCTAATCGCTGACTGGAAGAAACCTTAGATCTGCAATAGACGTCATACATGTACATGAAATTAAATTTTAAATAATTTTAAAAATTAATATATCTATATGTCCATATGCTCACCCACTTGATCAATAGAAATAAACAAACAATAAACAGACTAATAAATATTTGCTAATTTACCTTATTATAGTAGAAGCTGCTGTCAATGTGTATTGTTCTAAATAATAAACACAAGCAATCAGCAGAGGCCCTTTCACAGCTGCTATACAGGCCAGATCAAAGGTAGAGTCGTATATAGAGAAGTGCTCCACGTTATTCTCCATATAAGAGCTATCACCACCAGCAATCCATAGAGAAATAGAGAGCAGAGAGTCAATGGCAATAATAATGGAGGTTAGAGTGGTGTAGCGAAGGAAGGGAAGGTTGGAGAGGGCCTTTGTAGGTCTCCTCTTCCCTTGAGGTACCTCCTGTATGTTGGCTGGGAGCTCCATAGCATCAAACTATGCCTCAATGAAGAGTGAATGGAGTCTACAACACTGCAGAATTAAATTTCAAAATTATGCCACACCCATCTACTTCTACACCCACGCACTTCATTATTAGATCTAGGATAACAAATACGGTTATCTAAAGTAGGCGGGGCTTTTGACTAACCCCGCCTTTAAAAATGGCTGATTTATTAATCTCATATTATAACAAATTTTAATAGCCACTCCTTTTAAAATGGCTGATGAAATGGAAAGAGATCGAGGTGTTATAATTCTTCAGCGGTGGTACAGGAAAGTTCTATCAAGAAGAAAGCTACAGAGGTAATATGGAGACATTCTATAGTTGTTCCTAGTGATATTTTTAGATTCATTTTTGATGAATTGATGAAACGAGAAGATGAAAATCATACAGGTTTGCAAACTATTATTATTTACACTATCAATTATTTTTGTTTAATTTGTAAGGTGTTGAGTTGTTTAAAATTGGTCTGAAAATTCAAAAATTTTTCATCAGTGGAATAGACACTATGGTACATAATTGTCACCTCATATAAATTAAAATTATTTATTTATTTAATTTTTATTTATTCAGAGGTTGCGTCAGTTCTGTACCAGTGTGATAGAGAGCATGAATACAAGTAACGTGAAGAGTTGGTACGTTTCTGTTGCTTTGGATAAAACTCACAGCGTCCAGTGGATCAAGCAGGTTAAATGGATGCTACTATTATCAGGAAAATCCCTTTACAAGTTAAAGGTATATTTTAATTTCTTACTACCACACCTATTGACCATACCCACTTTAGCCCGGCATGCCGCGTGATGATCAGTACATTGAGACGTTCCTATCAATCGTGAGTTGCATCATTATTGCATCATGGTTTTACGTTACTAAAAATAGATTGTGTTATTGACTGATTGTACATTATGGAAGCTGACAGAGAAAGGAGGTAGAATTGTTGTTGTTTATTGTTGTTGTTGTTGTTTATTGTTGTTGTTTTTTATTAGGTACTGCCTTGAAGCCGACGCTAATCAAACTATGCTCTTCGTTTTCAAATCATTTAATCGAAAATAATTTATTCATCTACCTAAAGGTAACCAATCCATATTGCCATTGTTTTGGGTGTGGCTTTTAAATACAACCACACCCCTCACTAATATTAAATACTATAGGATATATTATTGAGTGGATTGGCTCATCCTCGTATTAAGTTTAATAAGAATTCTTTCGGAGCTGCATTGGGGATACGACTGATATCGATCAATGGTTTCGATAATAAGAGTTTGATTCCATTCATTAAATGTATACTGACCATACCAGCTGTAATATATCACTTGAACCTACTCTCACATGAAGTAAGTACATATATATATATATATCATGTACTTATTACTTCTCTCTCTCTCTTTCTCTCTCTCTCTCTCTCTCTCTCTTTCAGATGCTTGATAATTTAAAGAAGTACAAGTTCTTTAGCAGCTGTATATCAATACTGAAAGATGATGTTAATAGCATCATAAAGGATAAGGACAAAACAGAAATACTAGCACTAATGAGTGAGTCAATGCTGTACATGTACATATGTACATAATATATACGTGTATACATGCATAAAAATACATGTACATGTACATATACTATTCATACAACCACACCATTTTTTACATACTTCTTTTTTCTTCTTTTAGGCAATTTAATGCATCTTCAATCTCTGGTAATAATAATAATAATAGCTAATAATAATGTTAATAATATAATGCCAATATTGTTGTTAGGATGATGGTTGTGATGTTCAAGACTCAATTGAGATATATTTGCTGTTATTATCATTCATTAATAAGAAGAAATCAAAAACCACAACGACGACGACATGGCACTTAATGTTTGGATGGATTAACAAACTAAATGACAAAAGGCAAGTATTAATAATAGCAATTATTATGTAGTATTAACTATTCTATATTATATTTAATTTTATATACTAATACTATTTTAGGTTATTGGATTGCTTGCCTCATTTAAAGAAGCAGCTGTCGCTACTTTGGAGGTCTTCGTGGACGAGCAAAATATTCGAGCCACTTTTCTGTATCAAGAGAACAGAAGAAGGGGAAGGAGGAGAAAAGAAAGGTTAGAGTAGAAGTAGATGTACATGTACATACATGTATAAGATGTACTATTTCTTGTTGTTATAAATGTACTTATTCTATTGCAATAAATGTACATGTGTTTTATTATGTATGTACATGTACATGTACATCTTCATAATAATTGTTTAATTCAGTTTCTTTTTTCTAATTTATTTTTAGCTTCGTCTCGCTCTCTGTCAGTCAGAAAACTGTTCTCATCGTCAGCTGCGAACAATAAAATGGCCGACAGAGATATCAAATTAATATTGAGAGCTACTTATCTGTATACCCAGTTGATATCAGTCCTGCCCCAGATGACCAGTGAGATACTGATTGGGTTAAGCTCTGACGGACTTTTTTGCTCAAGATTGTGTTATTTCATGCTCGATGTTCTCAATATTGATAATAAGAAATTAACGGCTGATATGCTTAATGATACTCAGTTAATGTCAGTGTTAAGTCTTTTGTGTGAAACGGCTAATTATTTTCTCAGGTGAGTTTGATACTCTCTTTCTTAATAGTAGTACAGGGTAACTTTTAAGATGGCTAGGAGAGAATTCTTTAGAAAGTTTTTTGACTTTGATCAAATTAATTTTTTTAGAATTTTTGAAGTTGCTCAAAATCAGATCAAAATCCTTGTACATAGTACAAGGATTTTGATCAAATTTTGCCAAAAATGAAAAGGAGAGAATTTGGCATTTTCATAATGTTATTTGATACATATACATGTACTTATGTTGTGTAGAAAGTTTAAGTTGATTCCGATCAAAATTGGATTTTTTACGAATTTTTAAAGTTACTCAAAAATTGGGCCAAAGTCCCTGTACTATATAGTACAGGGATTTCGGCCAAATTTTGCCAAAAATGAAAGGGTGAGAATTCTCAATTTTTATGATGTTATTTGATGCATATACATGTACTTATGTTGTGTAGAAAGTTTGAGTTGATTCCGATTAAAATTAGATTTTTTACGAATTTTTAAAGTTACTAAAATATTTTGCCAAAGTCCCTGTACTATAGTACAGGGACTTTGGTCAATATTTTGGCCTAATTTATTAAAGTTGCATAATCATTCAATGGCTATAATGTATTGCTCTTTCCTCTCTCTCCCTCTCCTCATACTACATACATGTACATGTATAACTACATACAATCAGTGTATTAGATGATAATGAACTTTACGAAGTACAAGAGTATTTCACTCAGTACCAGTTAGGACGGATTACGATATTTCTCAACAACTTGATCTTTTACTGTATCTGGGAACAGGAGACCTTGTACACACCTATAATCGAATCCACCCGTCCCTGTCTTATCTTACTACTACAGAGAAATCAACGGAGGTCATTCGTACCTCAGGATTTTCTTTTAATTAGGTGAGTGGGTGGATCTTACTAAGTTTATGATACATGTACATGTACATTTACCGAGCGTCTGATCAGAATTGACACTACAGTTATTATTTTTATTTTTATTTGTAGGCAGTTAAAACCGTCCAAGTTTGTTGCTCAGTGGAAGAGCCTAAACCCAAAGTCCGTCATCTTGCTTCAGACACTACCCCACACCATCCCACACAACACAGTAAACACAAATAGTAATAATAATGATGGCATAATGTTAAAATTAAAAAAAAAACCAACGATGTTTTATGAAAAAGAAATTGATGCTGTCTGCATACAATAGTGGAGTATACATGTACATGTACATACTGTTGTAAATGGACTATGTACTTTTAAACCACAATGCATATACACTGTACATAGTTATGCATTATATTTATCAGGACACAACCACACATTCGCGTTACATGCATAGATACAAGTTAGTAGACATGGGGACATATGTAAGCAAGCATAATCAGATATAGATAAGAAAAGAATATTTTTATATATTAGTCATAATATTATGTTATATTCACATGTACATATATATTACATCTATGCATTACATTGTAGAGGGTTGAGATATTTTATGAATACATCAACAATGATAAAGCAATGCTTGGAATAGGCTGTGCTCACAACCACACTCCAGCTGCCTACATCACCATACACAGATCAAGGCTACTAGAGGATGGCTACAATCACTTAGGACTCGTCTCCACTGCTCATTTCAAAGGCGTCATACGAGTCAAATTTATCAACGAGCAGGTGGGTGTGGTGGTTTTTGGGCGTGGTCATTTGGTAATACTATTAGGGTCTTGATGAGGCTGGCATTGATGAGATGGGAGTCTTTAAAGAGTTTTTGGAAGAGATAGTGAAGATAGCTTTTAACCCTTCGATGGGTTTGTTTAAGGTAATGATTACTGGTTTATTATTACATCTGTATTATTATTATTATTATTATTATTATCATTATTATTATTATTATTATTTTCTTTTTATTTTAGGCCAATTCTGAAGGTGCTCTGTATCCTTCTCCTACCAGCGAATGTCATGAAAATCATCTGCAGATATTTGAGTTTCTGGGACGAATATTAGGAAAAGCTGTGTATGAAGTAAGTACTATAATGTATATTATTATTATTACTATTATTATCATTATTATCATTATTATCATTATTATTATTATTATTATTATTATTATTATTATTGTTGTTGTTGTTGTTGTTAGGGTATTGTTTTGGATCTGCCATTTTGCATATTCTTTTTACATTATTTGACGAGTCAGTCTCACGGGATCTTGTACAGTTCGCTGGATGAGTTGCACACTCTTGATCCTGAGCTCAGCAAATCACTCCATTTCATCAAGGTATGGTTATATTAATAGTTATAAATAGTTATTAATAGTTATTATTAGCATTACGATGGCGACGTGTCAGATCTGTGTCTCACGTTTTCCTACGAAGAAAATTTCCTTGGAAAAGTAAATATAAAATTATTATTATTATTGTTATTTTTAAATATTTTTTGTTAGTTGGTGACGCATGAATTAATTCCAGGGGGAAGTGCCATTCCTGTTACTTCTGAAAACAAGTAACCATTTTACTATATTCCTCTTAAATCATATATAGTTAAATGCATTATACATTATGCATGTACAATGAATTGTTATAGTTTTTCAATTGCTAACTTCATTATTTTTTTATTTTTAAGGATAAGTTATGTCCATAAGTTGGCCCATTACAAGTTATCCACGCAAATCAAGGATCAAACCGAGGCCTTCGTGAGAGGATTCCAGTCGATCATCAGTCCAATCTGGATGGAAATGTTTACTGCCAGGGAATTTCAACGCGTCATATCAGGAGTTGACACTGATATTGATATCGATGAATTAAGGTGATGAATGATTTTAACACTGATATTGATGCTGATATTGATTTTTGGCTCACACACGTTAGGAAGTGTACTAAATATTACGGCGGCTATCATGACAGGCATCGAGTCATACAGTGGCTTTGGGACGTTCTAAAAAATGACTTTACGACTGAGCAAAGATCCAGTTTCTTAAAAGTAGCATTTAAGTTATATCTTGCTAATGGTAATCACCTTTGAATTTCTGTCTAGTTTGTCACCAGCTGCTCAAGACAGCCGCTGCTAGGATTTGAAACCCTTGATCCTCCTTTTAGCATTAGAAGAGTTGACACTCCTAGTGAAGTAAGATGGACTTAAGCAAAGAGGGGGGAAGAGAGAGAGAGAGAGAGAGAGAGAGAGAGAGAGAGAGAGAGAGAGAGAGAGGGAGAGGGAGAGAGAGAGAGAGAGAGAGAGAGAGAGAGAGAGAGAGAGGAGGGGGAGGGAGAGAGAGAGAGAGGAGAGAGAGGGGGAGAGAGAGAGAGAGAGAGGGAGTGAGGGAGAGAGAGAGGGTGACTTTTATCTCCTATTTGTGATTTGTACGATAGGAAGAAGCCATACATGTGGCTGGGATTGTTAGGACGCTATTTGGTGTAAGGACGCATAAGGACAGACTACCAACCTCTTCAACCTGCTTTAACTTATTGAAGCTACCGGATTATAACAAGAAGAGTGTCTTGAAAGAGAAGCTACTTCAATCGATTACGTCTAATGCTGGATTTGAACTGTCATAATAATAATAATAATAATAATAATAATAATAATAGTAATAATAATAATAGTAATAATAATAATAATGGTAGAAGTAATGAATATATTAGTGACTGTATTTTAAAACGTTTTTAATCATTTCCATCTTTTCTCTCTCTGGCAGCATCCTACATTATTAAAATAATTATGTCATTAATTATTATTAATTGTAATTGTAAATATTATTTCAAGTGACATGTTTTTAACGTTTTGGTTTATCAATTATTTTTTTCACATGCATTGTTATTTAAAGTATGTTTATTGTTTAAAGATGTTAACTATTTACTTTAAATCTTGTCTCAATTTTAGTCACTTCACTTATAAGATCAGTAAGTGCATTAGAGAGTGCCTCCTGGGGGCTGTAATCTGCTGTGGTTTGAATACGAAGTACAAACTTGTGCTCTAACGGATGTGGGACTTTATAACCAGAAAATAACACCTGGGGATCGTTTAATAGCTGACTACAAGAAAATTAATATATTAGTAAAAATTAATAAATAATTCATTTACTGCATAAGTAGGTTTCCCAAGGTGTGGTCTTCCTTGAAAACTGTAAAAATGGCTGCATTTGGTACTTTGGTGTCCTTGGTCACTGTTATCCTATAAAATAGAGATCATTTCATTTCATAAAAAATTGTTTTTCTACTTTTTCTCTCCGTCAAGGAGCAGAAAAGACTCAAAAGTTGCAGGAGCATTCATTTTATGGGCGGGGCTATGATTTAAACCACGCCTTTCTTAATTAAACATTAAGCCACGCCCATAAGCTAATTGTGGTACGGTAGGGACTGGCAAAGATCAGAGAGGAGAATCATGACTCCTTTTATATGTGCTGGGTGTTCCGAGCCTATCATGGAGCGGTTCCTCATGAAGGTCCTGGATAAGTCCTGGCACGTGCAGTGTGTCAAGTGCTCCGACTGTCAGTGTCTCCTCAGCGAAAAGTGCTTCTCACGTGACAATAAGCTTTACTGTAGATCGGACTTCTTCAGGTAATGAAGCACTAGATAGTAAGTAAAAAGGCTTCTATCTCTCCTTACAGGCAATACGGGACTCAGTGTGCATCTTGTAAGGAAGGATTATGCCCAGAAGATCTCGTAAGGAGAGGAGTGAATAAGATTTATCATGTCCAATGTTTCAAGTGCTCTGTTTGCCAGAGACAGCTCAACACTGGAGAACAGCTATACCTAGTTCAAGTATGTGTATTTCTGTTCATTGTATACAGCACGCTTTAATTTAGGCAATTTTGCGCTTTAAAATGTCTTAATTTGACGATTTTATAAATAGACAGTTTAGTTTTACTATTAGCAATTTTATTGCCTATATTAAGTGCTACACAGTGTTATTATTGCTGCTATTTGTTGCTCAGGGAGAGAAGTTCCTTTGCGACAGTTGTTATCCAGCTCCCGCCCCATCACAACCAACTGTCCTTCAACAACAGCAGTCTTCATCTCCTCCCCCTCCCTCTTCCTCTCAACCCATGGTAACACAGACGACCCCAATTAACCCTCCCCCCTCCTCGTTCACACCTGCAGCTAATCCTGTCGGGAGCGGAGCCACAGCTGTCAGCAACGGTTGGTTATTAATAGTTATTAATTAGTCTTTATTAAGTATATATTTAGTTTCTGCTATGGATGAAAGTTATTCACCATCTACGACTGGTAATGATCCTTTGATTGGATCCGGCGATAACAGAAAAGGAAAGACAAGAACGTCCATTAATCCAAAGCAGTTGATCGTCCTTCAGGCCACGTACGAGAAAGAGCCACGCCCCTCGAGAGCAATGAGGGAGGATCTTGCAGCACAGACCGGTTTGACGGCTAAAGTGATTCAGGTTTGGTTCCAGAACAGAAGATCGAAAGATAAGAAAGACGGCACTAAGGGAGAGCCAGGTATGATGATAATGGACACATAATGTAAGGAAAGACATTTGATAGCAATAGCAACTTTAATATGTCCTCAAGTACAGAACATGTGATCTCATACATGTATATGCCAAGTGTGTTTATATTTTTATAGTAATTAGGATGAGATTTTTATGTTTTTGATCACGTATAATAGTAATGTTTTCTTTCTTGATTTCTTACACAACACTAATTCCTTCTCTCTCTTTCTTCCCCCCTCTCTCTCTCTTTTATCTCTTCTCTCTCTACAGGTGCAGGTCTTTAGACATTTTGTCTTGAATCATACCATTTGTGTATTTTTTTCATCAATTGACAATACATTAAATAGGTCGTTATTATTATTATAAAATGAGACAATAAATATTTAGTCACACTGTCGTTTCCTTTTCATTAATGCATTGAATTCCCTCTTCTTCATCATTTGTTACTCCATTTTGTACATCATTATCATTCTTGTTTGAAATAGGAGGAGAAACTGGTTGGTCAGGGTTTGAATGAAGTGATTCATCACTTTCTTTATCTATTAAATTTAAATGCAATAGTAAATCTACTATAATATATATATATTAAATAGCTTACCTTCATGTTTAAGAAGGTATGGTCCAAATAGGCTGGTAAGGATAGCACCAACTGGAGCAGTAATCACTATAGCTAATACTGCTATTGTTAGTATCTATAAATTGGTCATGATGATTATGATAACAAGGTATTCAAAAATGTTACCGTTTCTCCATATTCTATAAACTGTCTATTTCCACTCTCTCTTGCAAGATCTAATGGTATCGATCCCAATGCAGCCTGTGTATAATTAATATTTAAATAAATATTATATTTAAAAACTTTTTTAGCAATTAAATATTCCGTCTTGCCTGGACTGTTGCTTTTGGTAGCCAAGAAAACCCGATAAATATCTTTTCTTTTATAGTAAACTTGTTACCGGTCACGGCTAAAATTGCTACAGTAACTCTCACGATCAACCCACATAATATAACCAGTACTGCCTTCCCTGTATTATTATAATAAATGCATTGAAAATGATAGTTAGAATATCGTCAGTTACTTAGTACCTATTAAGTCTCCGCTGATAGTGCTTATGTTTAAAGCTGCTCCTATTAAACCAAAAAGGACGGGTTGAGCAAACTGCCATATTATATAGAAATATCTTGACAAGGTTTTCTAAACAGAATATCACACTTGAGATCAATTACATTAAATATAAAAAGTGACACACATTACATGAATTAGAAAATGTAATAAAATAACAAATTCTCTCTTAGCCATTTTGACAGAATACCCTGTCTATAGTACAGGGACTTTGGTCCGATTTTTGAGTAACTTTAAATATTCATAAAAAATCTAATTTTGATCGGAATCAGTTCAAACTTTCTACACAGCATAAGTACATGTATATGCATCAGAAAAAAATATAAAAATAAAGAATTCCCTACTTTCCATTTTTGGCTAAACTTGACCAAAATCCCTGTACTATAGTACAGGGACTTTGACCCGATTTTTGAGTAACTTTAAATATTCGTAAAAAATCTAATTTTGATTGGAATCAGTTCAAACTTTCTACGCAACATAAGTACATGTATGTGCATCAGAAAAAATTATAAAAATAAAGAATTTTTTACGTTTCATTTTTGGCTAAATTTGACCAAAATCCCTGTACTATAGTACAGGGACTTTGGTCCAATTTTTGAAGGAACTTTAAAAACTTCTAAAGATTTAACATAACATGATGGTGACACAAAATTGCACTTGATATAATAACAATAATAAAATTGTACTTTATCTTCATTTGAGTACTTCTGGACTGAGACAAATGAGACAACTACAGTACCCAGTGCGCCTGCTCCTGCAAGACTGGCCCCGCCTATCAACGCCCGGCGACCACCAAACAACGACAAGAGACCAAACCCAAACAATAAAAAGAAACGATTCCTTGCCATAGAAGTCTCTGTCTGTAACAAAACTCAACACTGTCATAATTACCATTTTGACTTACATGATGTTTTGTAGGTAATACCCACATTAGTAGGCCAGTGATTATACCATACAATACACCAACAGTTAGCTCTATTGGAGCCCTGAAGACATCCAATATAATATTGCCTTTTTTTAATAATAAGAAGAATAGAACACTAGCAGTATACAATGAATATATTACCCTCAGAAAATATAAGTCCTAAGAATATACTGAAAAGACTTATAGCAATGACTACGTCAACATTAGCAGCTGCTACTATTAAAGTAGCAATACCTATTAACAATTATTAGTAATTATAAATACAAGAGATTAATAAAGATACTTTTACCTTCGTTTACTCCTTTAACTGTATCTCTTAATACTAGTGTTGTTGGGACTACAACAGCAGGAGATATGGCTGATAATAAATACCTACAAACAATGACAATGATCAAGTAAAATAATAAAAATGATAATGATAAAAACAATGATAAAGATAAAGTAATGATAAGTAATGATATGAGTGAAAGTTAAGTGTATTTTTACATGACATATTACTAGCTCAATCTTACCCTAATGTTAATCCCCATTGCCATGGTAAATCAATATAGAATATACTTATAATACTGTCCATCCCTCCTTCAAATAGACAAGGTAAAATTGCAAGTAATGGTAGGACAAACTTCAACTTCCATAGTTTTTTAGCATCAAGAGCAAGACCGCCTCTTATCAATATGATGGTTAGAGCAATGTTTCTTAACACTGAGCTCCACACTGGACTGATCCAATCTATGATCGACGAAGTGTTTTCTAAAATAAACCCAGCCACCATCATCCCAAGCAGTGGTGGTAATTTAACTAATTTAGCTATAAAGCCACCGAATGAAGAGCAGAGGACGAGAATCATCAGCGAAAAGAAATGCCCTTCGGGGATTTTTAATAGACTATCAGTATTCTCATCATTATTTGATACACTCTGATATAAATCAATGATTCCGGACTGAGTTGATTGATTGTCATCAGATAGCGTAAAAGTGAGACGAGATATACAAGACTCATTGATGCCAATGGTAGCAATACACTCCACTGATGTTGTACTATTACAAGGGAGCATGTAAGCTAAGCTTTCATCAGTATAATTCATGCTATCATTGATATTAATACAATCATACTCATTCACTGAGCTCCTTGGTAACAAATCTCTGCCTAGTATGACCCATAGGACTCCAATCCATACAGAAACGACCAATAACCTCGTACAATACCATCCAATGTACTTTAACAATGCTGAACGCTCTGGTAACAGGTGCAACAGTAGAGGTACAAGCCTTTTCGAAAGGAAGGACATCATCAAACTCATGTGTCAGCCCCTCCCTAAAAAAAGAGGAGGGATCATCACTGCAGTGAATATTGAAGCCACAAACCTGTTAAGATGACTTGTTTGAGGTTGTCACAGGAAAGAAAAAGCAATCATGATAAGATGGAGGAGCTCTTGTAGTCTTCTAACCTCTTGTTTAGCAAGAAGACATGCTCCCGTGGCTCTCCACTCCTCCTCGGCTCAAGCTGCAATCGTCCGGGGAAAGACCACAACCGCAGGTACAAGCATTTCGTCGACAATAGACTTCTCAGATACAAAGACATCCTTTCAAAACAAGTCTACATACGAGCTATGGCGTGCCTTCGTTTTATTCAAACTCTTCAAATATGAGAAACTAGTAGATAAAAGTGAAAAGGTAAGCAATAAATGGCCAATAACTGAACAAACCATAGATACTTTAATTGATGTTTCTATAATAGTTGCTTGGCCTGCTGAAAAGCATAGTGGGTGATAGGCTTTTCACTAAAGTTATGAAGGCTACAATCTTTGGACACTTTGTTGCAGGGGAGACTGGAGAAGAAGTGAATTCAACACTAACAAGACTAGAATCTCAAGGAATCCTACCCATACTAGCTTACTCTGCTGAAGACGATGTAACTGAATCAGAAACAAAGTAGAGCTTTGTTTCATTGCACTACAAATATTAGTATCTTTTAGGAGCACGAGTGAGAGAGATGCTGCTACTGAAAGAGCATGTGACAATAACCTCAAAAATGCCATCGACTGTTTAAACGTTGTAGGTATGGTACTATAATTTTTGTCTCAGTTACTCTGTAATAAAATTATACCATAGCTGATGCAAGCCAGTATCCATTCAGTGCTACAAAGATCACAGGGCTAGGACATACATCATTACTGGTATGCCTATTATATGCATGCATTACTAATGCTTCCACAAATGATTGCAACTTTTATAGCTGCTACTAAGTGAAGTGCTAGTTGGTAGTGAGAAAGTTTTCTCTTTACTAGCTGATAAACCAGACATGCTGGAAGGAGTTGTTACTTCTGACTCGTTTTTGAGAGGAACAGAAAAAATGAAAGTAAAGAAAAGACTTTTATGTATTATTGTTGATTAATAGTTGTTGTGTAATATTAAGTAATGTTTATTTTTATTTACTATTAGCTTGGATTTAAGGAGAATGAAGTAGAGAAACTATGGAAGACTTTGAAAACAAAGTTAGTATAACCATACAAAGACAAAGCCACTACATTACCACATCAAAAGAGTTTACTCCAACAATGTAATCCTGATATTCTTTCCCTGTTGTAAATAATAGTTATGATAATAAATTGAACTTCTTTGAATGGAATGATGCCTTCCTGACCGATGGATCTGACTTCTATGAAGTCTTAGCAAAAGTAATACATCAAGTATATTATATTTCTTATTCTCTATAAAAGCCATACTGAACATATAGGATACTTAATTGACCATTTTCTCTTTTTCTTGCTATTAAACTCCATTTCTTTTTCTCTTAGCATTCTCCTCATGAGCTAAACCTTCCATTGATGAGTGAGGAAGAGAAAGACCAGATGAAAAGTGTCATGAGAAGAATGGAATCATTAGCTGACGTAGCACAAGAAAGAGGAGTGAGACTAATGATAGATGCTGAACATACTTACTACCAACCAGCAATACGTCACATCACTGTACACAGACTCATGCCTAAGTATAACATGCAGTATCCCTTGCTATACAACACACAGCAGTGCTATCTGAGAAGCAGTTTCAATGATCTCCTCAGAGATATAGCAGCCTCTGAACATTATGGCTACAGATTTGCAATAAAGACGGTACGTGGAGCTTACGTGACATTGGAGAAGGCACTAGCGCTTAAAAAAGGTATTGAAAATATCAGTAACGTATTTTGCATTTCCTATAAAGTTGTCTACATGTATTTATGCATGATGGACATTAATGATTGGCAGTTTTAATGACAAATTATTACTAATTATAAAGTATTATTACTTTATGTATTATTTATAGGCTATCCGGATCCTATTTGGGGCAAAAAATCAGAAACTGATTCAAGCTATCACAGAATATTGAACCATGTTCTTGAGAGAGTGGGAGAAGGGAAAGCCAGCATAATGGTAGCGACACATAACGAAGCTACTGTACACTTTGCACTGAAGAAGTAAACTGCTTCCCTTGCTCTATATTGCATACTTCCTTTTTGTTGTAATTATATATTATTATATTATTTTTATGTTTTTATTGGTATAATAGAGTGAATGAGCTCGGACTTAACAAGACAGATTCTTCCGTCGTCTTTGGACAGCAGTACGGCATGTCTGATAATCTCACCTGTACACTGGGTCAGTAGTTTAACAATAACAGAGCAATTGCACATTACAATGCAATATTATTATTTTATTATCTTCATAATCATAATAGTTACTTCTTTTATTAATAACTGCATGTAGTAAGCTATTATTTATTTTCTTTTTGTCTCTCCTCTCTCTCTCTTCTCTCACTCTTATCTTCAGGTAGTTCAGGCCTAATGGCTTACAAGTATACTCCATACGGTCCTGTAGGTGAGGTCCTCCCATATCTTATAAGAAGAGCCAATGAGAACAAAGGTATGCTGGATGGAGCAGTCAGAGAAAGAAGTCTTATATCACGAGAATTAAAGAGAAGATTAATGCGGAAAAATTGATATAAAGAAATGCAATTCAAGAACTATATAATTGTTTTTTTTCTAGTTTTATATTTTTGCTGTTGTCATGAAATTTGCTCCACAATTTATTTATTTTTTCACTGCATCGTTTTTTGATGCAATTTCTTCAATAATAATAATAATAATAATAATAATAATAATAAATAATAATAATCAATCATTAGTCTTTCATTAAAAGTATATTTTTATATATCTTATAAAGATACTTGATGTGACTGATAGAAACCAGTTTTATTGAAAGTCATGTGACTTGTATACACTGATTGATGCTCCACACAAGGAATGTACAAGTAATTTAATGTTTTCTTTTGATCAAAACAGCAATCAGATTACATGTCACACACAAAAACACGCATGCATTTAATAACAATAATAATGATAGTAATAACAGTAATAATAATAATAATAATAATAATAATAATAATAATGATAATATAATAATAAAGTCAATTGCAATAGTCATTTATTTTAAGTGGAGTCTTGACTCGTTAATTTAATAAGCTCCTCCTCTTGCTGGCGTGACTCCACCTCGACAAGTCTTGTCTAAAAGAAACAAAGTTAATAATTAATGTTTAATCTCATTCATCTCACCTGAAGTGATTGTGATAATTGTACAAAATCTTTTTGAACTAATTCGTTATTTGCTAGCTGCTTCTTTAGTTGAGACAATTGCGTCTTTAATTCATGTATTGTTTTAGCGTTTTCTTCCTATTAGAGTCAAGAGAGAAAGAGAGGGAGGGAGAGAGAGTAAAAATCATAATAATAATAATAATAATAATAATACCTTTTCATGTTCCAGTTCCGATATTCTAAAAATATTCTCTTCAATATAATCCTTCGATTTCTCCTGAAAGTTGGTGTTGCTTAATATTGCAAAATGTCTTTCTTTCTCAAGTTGGGCTAAAATACAAAAAACAATATCCCACTTTGCAGTGAACGTATACACATACTCTGTACATGTATGTACATGTACATGTACATGTGGTATATGTATATAGATTCATTCTTACTATTTTCATTCAGAGAGGATAACAATTGACTTTCTAAATTATCTTTCTCCTGTTTTGCTGTAGAGACAACCTCACGTAATTCACTTAGCTAAAGAATATAACATGAAATTATCATTATAATTATTATTTTTCTTATTTTTGTGCTCACTTCGGCTGATAGTCTGGATTCATTAGCAACTTTTTGCTCCCTCAATCGTGTCAACTCTTCCATAGTCGACGCTACGTTCAGCTCTGCCTCTGCTTTCTCCTATTTGTGAAATATGATAATTTTTAAATTCCAAATTTTAGAAAAGTACCCTGTACTATATATAGCCCATGGTTTTTTCCAAAAAATGGCTCCGAAATCACCCCCAATTTTTATTACATTTTCTGATACATATTGATGTCCTTATGCTATGTAGTAAATTTGAGCTGATTCCGATTTCAATTTTTCAAGTTATGACCATTTTTTAAAAACTCTAAATTTCGGAAAAATACCCTGTACTATAGCCCATGGTTTTTTCCAAAAAATGGCTCCAAAATCACCCCCAATTTTTATTACATTTTCTGATACATATTGATGCCCTTATGCTGTGTAGCAAGTTTGAGTCAATTCCGATTTCAATTTTTCAAGTTATGAGCAAAACATAAAAAAGGGCTTTAGTACTAAAAATGTATGCAAGACCAAAACACATCCATTTCCAATACATGTACATGTACAGTGTATGTAAAAATTGTACATGCTAAATCTAAAACTTAATGTACATTATAAAAATATTATAACAATTCATCGTTTGCTCATTTACTTTTTTCAATTGATCTAATTCTGACTGATATGCTATTTTCTCGCTCGTCTGCAGATCCTTCAAACAAGCATACTCCTCCTCTCTCTGTGATATGATCCCGTACAGGCTAGTCCTCTCCTCAGTGAATGAAGCCTACATGTACATGTACATATACACATGTACATGTATATGTACATGTATACGACAAATTCAATCAAAAAGTAAAAATTGTAAATTGTATATAGATTGGTTAATTCTGTAATCATAACTATTTTAATGTGTATCTAGTAAATTAGGATTTAAAGTGGCATAATGGTAAAAAAAGTTGTACTGTACATGCATATGTACATGTACATGAATTTATAAATGTATAAATTAGTACATGCATATGTACATGTACATGTATAAGTTGCGAAAAGAGAGTGAGGGAGGGAAGGAGACAGTACATGTAAGTAGAAGATAATGGCAGACTATATACCCACCAGTTGCTTTTGAATATCGTGCCTTGTCTCTGTGAACTTCTCTTTAAACACTTTGTGCTTTTGTTGAACCTTAGCCTCAGAGCTATGTAATTCAGTAACCTTTAGAAGAGAAAAATGAGGCTCTTATTCATAACGTTGATCATTAACCTGGTTTTTCATTGACTCCTTGGCAGTTGCTAATTTTCTCTTCATATTCTCAGCAGCATATCTCTCCCTTAGCAGTGTAGCCTAGTATCAAACAATGGTATCATAATAGAACACTCTCTAATTTACAAACTTACTTGAATCTTCTGTATTTCGTGTCTTAAAATAAATATTTGATTGTCTTTTTCGTCAATGTCTGACATCAGCTGTCCTTGTGTTCTCTCCAGCTGTTTCTCATACGCAGTGACAGCTGCTTCCTTGCTCTGGAGGTCGTGATGCTGCTGAGATAACTGAAGAAAGAAAAGGGAAACTAACTACATGTTCATGTACGTGTAATTTTACTCATCTTTGATTTTAGGGAAATACATAGCATATTACAGTGTACATGTACATGTATGTACAGTACATGGTTTAGATCTATTAAAATATTAGTTAACACTGCAAATGATGCTAAGTGAGCTAAAAAAAGCATATGCTTCAGCAGGACATTAACATGGTTTTCAGGGCAACTTTAAAAATTCGACTAATTATTTATGATGGTTGAATTCACTCACTAGTCGCTGGAGCTGTTCAGTGATAGCCTTCCAAACGGTCAAATCTTCTTTCTCCTCAGTATGGTCATCACCCACGCTCCAAGAGACCGTCCTCTTACGTCCCCGCCCTCTTCCTCCAGGTCTCATACTCATTCTGTCATCAGTGGTATGGGTATGAGTCTCTTGTGTTGGGGATGAAGGGCGAGGGGAGTAAGCACCCACTGGTTCCAGTGCTGCCTTTAAATTCCTATTTAATAAAAAATTAAAAATAAATAGAATTTACGCTAAAATATATGTTATGTCACCTCTCATCTGATACTTTAACATCTTTCAGTTTCTGTTTCAGTTGATCTTGAGTTGAAATGAAGGAGAGGTTTGCTTTGGTCCAAACAGCCTCCAATTTGGCATATTTCTCCTTTTCTTCCTCAAGACTTTTCCTGGCTATTAGGAGGAAGAGAGAGAGAAAGAAAAAAGAAAAAGAGGGAGTGTAGGGGCAGAAGGAGAAAGATATCAAAATCAGATTAAAATACAAAAAAGGAATCTAATTGACATCAAACAAATAAAGTACAGCTTAAAACATAATTAGGCACAAATAAATTTAATAACAACAATAACAATAATATGAACAAATAACAACAACAACATTAACAACAACAACAACAGAAATATCAAAACAAATCAACAAAAGTACATATACATAATTATATTTATATTCAATAATAACGATTAAGAAGGTACATTAATACCTGTTGCTAGATCTTCTTTTAGTTCAGTGTTTAGGTCCATCACTGACGTCTTTTGTCTCCGAAGACTCTCAATATGCATCTCAAGGTCATATCTTGCTGTTCTCTCCTGATTTAGTAACTTCTCAAGCTTAAGGAGAGAGAGAGAGAGAGAGGGAGGGAGGGAGGGGGAGAGAGAGAGAGAGAGAGAAATAAAGAGAAGGAAGAGATGGAGGGAAAAGAGTAAAAGATGATGATTCATAAATTAATGATTTTTAATATCCAAATATTTTTCCGCTCACAAGTCCAACTTCTGAAACATCCTGTGAAGATCCTCTACTCAAAGACCCTACCCCTCTTCCTTCTCCTCCTCCTCCTGTTTCAAGAGGTGAGACACTTCTATCCGGTCCTGTTGCAGTCGGTGTGACCAGTAGCTCAGAGACACTGGCGGACAACGGCTCGGGAGAAGCTGTTAAAAATGATCCACTTGCCTATTAAAAAATTAAGTTTAAATTTAGACATAAAAATACACAAAAATTAAAAATGACTGAAAAACTTAACCATCAGAAATAACTCACTACGTGTACATGGATCACAATCATTGTTACATGTACATGTACAGTAAATGTATTAATAACTGACATTTATTCATTTGTACATGTACATGTATATAGTATGTGATAAACTAACTTTGCCTTCATATACTTTAAGCCTGTCTTGTGAATCTTTTAATTGCATTCTTAACATTTCAATCTCGGCCTCCAGTGGAACTACGACTGACTTTAACAATTTAGCATCATGAGCAGCCTAAGAGAAAAGGAGAGAGAAAAAGGGTTGTAAAGAAAGAAAGAAGATAGCATAATCAGAAATATTCAATGGATATACATGTAGCGGATCTTTTACTGAGGATAAGGTACATGTTGAAATTTTGAATATTAAGTATTTTCATTGTACATGTACATGTACCTCTTCCCCCTCCCTTTCTCTCTCTCGCTTACTTGTATCATACTTGATTCCAGACTACCTTCGGATGAGAAATTAAGAGCCGCTGATGATGATGATGATTGAGGTTGATTTGGAGCTGCTGGTACTGGGATGGTCTGTGAGGTTCTTTGTGGCGACTTCCGACCACTTGAAGGCTTGACAGGAGACTGAACATCAAGGAGATTAGAGTCAGACTTAGAGTCAGTTAGAGCTGCTGTCCGCTTTTTCTCTCGGGAGAGCTCAGCCTTTAGTTTCTGTACCTGCACTTGATGTTCATGAGATGTTTCTGAGAGAAAGAGAGAGAAGGAAGGAGAGAGAAAGATAAAAAGGAGAAATAGAAGAAGAGAGAGAGAGAAAGAAAGAAAGAAAGATATTAACAGACTACATGTATTTCTTTCATTAACTAACCTTGTAGCTTGAGTTTAAGTATAGATATTTCTTCTTCATACTTTACTCTGTCGCTATCAAAAGTTTCTCTTAGCGACGCATTCATCGTCTTAGCCATTGAGCTCATTTCTTCGTCTTTTTGAAGTAAACTCACATTGAGAGTCTCAATCTGCTGCTTGTTCTTCTTTAAGATCTCGTTAAACTTTTTCATTTCACCTAAAAAGACGGTTTTAAATCTTACTTTCTCTCCTTCCCTCTCTCTCCCTCTCTCTCCCCCTCACTCTCTCTCCCTCCCTCCCTCTCTTTCCCTCTCTCTTTCTCTCCCTCTCTCCCCCTCTCTCACTTTCCCCCGTCTCCCTCTCCCTCCTTCTCTCTCTCTCCCCCTCTCCCTCTCTCTCTTACCTTCAGAGCTGATCATCTGTTCCATGAATCGCTTTCTCTGTCTACCGAACTCTTCCTCCATTCCTTTCTTCTCTGATGTCAGTCTGGAGACCATCCCCTCGAGATACTTTACACGCAAGGCAAGAGTAGAGGGGTTACTACCTCCATCTAAAAACAGTTAATACATTATTATTATTTCATTCATGATATTATTACATTCAATTTCACATTAAACTTACATATAGAAAAGTAAGCTGCGTGTACATGTAATGTACCTGGCTACATGGACATGCTAACTGTAATTCATTATTGACGTTATTTTTTAATGAATTTTTCATTTAATGAATTGGTCACATAAAACTTATTTCTACATTAGGCATGTAGACGACAGGCAAATGTTTATCAGAACCCTTAAAACGAATTTTCAATGCAGCTTAAGCCCCTGACCCCTGGGGCCCTCGATAATATCAATTTACCTGAAGGTCCAACAGACGAAGAAGGGGAAAGACTCATTGTGGGCGGAGGTAGGCTGGGTGGGTGAGAGGTGTGGTCTTTTCTCTGGGACTTTGGAGCAATGGTAGCGTACATTGGCTGTTCTTGAGGAGCCTGGGCTAAAAATCCAGCTCTTAGAGCAGGATCAGTGCTGGGGAGAGAAGTAGGAGTTGGAATAAGAGGAGGAGCGGAAGAGTTTGAAGGAGAAAAGGGGTTCTGCCTTTCGGCCATTTTGAGGGGTGGAGTAGCGGCTCTAATAACCACGCCTTAATTTACTGGCATAATTCCGGAGGTATACGAAAAACACGTGGCATGTACTGTACGGAAAGCCCGCGGACAAGTGCGGAGAATGTGAAGAAAAGATGCGTCATTTTGTACCATCAACAGCTCATTCTAGCCGCCTCTACAGCTCCTGCAGGCATGGAAAAGACTAAAGAGACGAAAGAGGGAGATCCCAAGACCAACCAGCTTGATAAAGGAGAGCTCATTGTGGAGGAATTGCTAGAAGAATGTTTAAAAGATGTTTATTCAGAAACTCAATGGGACATAACTAAGAGGGCCCGGTTACTAGAGATAGGAGGAAGGAGAGAGTTAACAAAAGGTTTGCTTCCGATCAATTCAAAGTATTATTATTTTTAAAAATAATTTATTAGGTGACCAATGGTGGGATTTCGAGTCAATTATAACTAACCACGCCCATTCCCGTATATTAACTCATTATACTTTGAGGCCATGCCCACATGTATCGGTACTACAGTTAAAGGTTGTTGAACAGAAAGCCTCCGGCTATTGTGGCTATTATGCACTACACTATGCTCTCTGTCTGCTGGAGGCGTGTCACTCGTCAAGTGAGGGGGCGGTAGTTGGTTTGCTAGAGGAAACTGCATCAGTGGGTGGAGTCTGGAGAAGGTGAGAACATGATTACAAAATTTTGCTTGCAAGTCAAAATGTTTTAACATTAATTTTGTTGGTTTAGTTTTTATGTTATTTTTGTAAGCACGTGTAATCATTTATGGGCAGGGCAAGGAAATTAAAGTTAATTTTTGATGAGCAAAAACCAAAATTTTTTAAATGATTTTCAAGTTTATTTGTAGGTATTGGTACTCTGTTTCTCAGTTGTTGGTCAGGGGGCGGAGTGAGGAGGCATGGCCTTGGACAGAGGAATACATAACCAAGGGAGACTTGGAAAGGAGCTTTCTCCAGTATTTATGTGACGTTGATCCTCATTTGAACTTTGATATGGAAATTAAAAACAAATTAATCATTTTACAGGTACGACATTTTTTTAAAATGACGCTGTACATGTACATGTAAAATAATTAACTATTGTATAGATCAAGTAGATCATTAATAATTTTATTTTATTTTTTCCAGTTCTCTTTCGGTTCATTACAAGACAGTTTTGAGATGATTTGTGAAACTCAAGATAAAATCTCTTCGTTTGTAAAGAACACCACAAGTCCTGCCCACCTCATATTTATCCTGGGAGTGACCAATCACTGGCTGACACTCCTCGCCTACAAAAGAAAAGAGGCGTGTCCCTGTCACCATGGTAACGAGGGCTGCGGGAGCGTCCAGATGCTTTACATGGATTCAAATAACACCCCGGCCATTTCTCTCTCTGATGAAGGAATTGAGGATTACGTGAAGGAGCAGGAGAAGAAGAAGAAGGCAGTTAAAGGTTATGGCTACCAAACGTGGAAGAGAAATATAATCAAGCAAGCTTATGTAGACCAGAGGACAATCGTTGATAGGATCAGTCGTTACCTCAGTGGTGAGGCAGACATGATAGAGGAAGTGATCAGTGAATACGTTGATAAGTTATTGATCAGTTTTAACACTCACGTTGAGAAATCATTGATTTCGGCTGATCCTGATTTCTACATCCCTCTCCTCCTGAGTTGGCTCGAGGGCCAGTATCCGGTTAAGGTTTTACGAGATAATGTGTTACCTTTTATCAGTAGCTCCACCATCAGCCATCTCACGAGTAGAGATGAGAATATAAAAGGAGACCATTTTCCTTCTGTTCCTCTCCCCCTCTCTCGATTAAGAGACTGGGCGAGTCTCAATCATTCAAGGCTTGCTGGCTTAAGCTCAGACTCGTTTGGGATTGATCAAATTGATTCTTTTGCGTCTCTTTTATCTGCCATTTTGGAGAAATTGTGATCAAAAGGGAAGGAAGATCTGACACATTTTTCACATACATACATGTATGTGAATTCTAATATAATACATGTATGCATAAGGGAGAGTATTAATGTACATAAATTCTATATGTATTCTTTGTCAAAGTTATTTTTATAATCATAAAATGTGAAATTACTTTTTTTAAAATAATAATTTAATATACAACTATAACCAAGCAAGTAAAGACCAATGTTGAGTAATTGACTCTGTTCATGGATTGTCCTCTTCATTGATACATTCAGCTCCTATTTTCTTGATTATCTAGATTCTCTTCCTCTTGTCGTTTCTCTTCAAGCTCTTGACGTCTCCTCGTCGTTTCTTTTCTTGCGTAATCCTTGTCTTTCTTTAACAGTGTGATACGGTATTGCTCCTTCATGTGTTCCACTGTCTCTAGTGATGTCTTGTCTTTGTTTTCTTTTGTTAGTTTCTTCTCTCCAAGCAGAAACATCTGATGCTCCACAAACCTGTTTGCAGAAACAGACAATGTCTCTTTCTTTTTCTCCCATGCAATCTCATAATTCTCTCTCTGTCTCTCTTTCTCTCTAACTTTTCTGCAACAGTTGGTTGCTTGTGATCTTCAAATAATGACACTGTCTCACCATGTCTTCTGTATTGATCAAAGTAATCTCTAATCCAATTAAAAGACTTAGTGTAATAATTAATGGACCAATGTGGTATTATAATATGCATTACAGCTATGATGCGATTGCGTTAGGATCATGACGTAATCGTAATAAAGCTGTCCAGTATGCATACTTGGCATGTGATCGGAATGTGAAAGGAAAATTCTTATGATTCTTTAGTTAGATTATAAATACACATCGTAATTAAATTAAAAGTATCGTAATTTAATTAATGTCCGACCATTCACTATAGCCACTGTATAACTGGAAATATCAGACAAAAATATAATAATAAAAATTGCATTTATTTGTGATCTTGAATGTTATTGTAGGTTCAATTGTAATCCTGATTAAACAAACTAAGAGTAGATTCTATAATAGTCAATTACTTCATAGAAGAGCCAATATTTTTAGTGTACAGATACAATGAATAATCTAATATTACTACTCTCATTTCATCTACCTACTTCATGAGTACATCTTTATCGTAGACTATTTGTTTCGGTTTTCCTTTTTGAAATGCAACATTGACTGCCATTGGCGTGAGAGGAGGGTGGGATTCTACCACGTCTACCCAAACTGGACACTTTTTGACCACACCAGACCTTACTAAATCCTTCATCCTATGAAAATGTAGTCATAAACCAATTATAACTATAATACATAATTATTTTATGTATGCATAATAATAAGTGTCATTTTCTTAGTATTCTTTTTTTACCTGGTGAGTACAGTTCCAAAATCGAATAATCTGGACCCCATTAGCTCTTAAGAAGCTACTCTATATATTTTTTTATAAATAATAAAATAAACAGAGAGAGAGAGAGAGAGAATGATTAATTATTATAATTGTATTTATTATTTTTTATTATTTTTATTGTATTTATGAATAATGGTTAAATAACCTTTTTCTAATAAAAGCGCACCATCCTGCAGAAAGAGAGAGAGAGAAGTGAAAAAGGGGAAGGAGTCTTGAGAGAGGATGAATGAAAGAAGACAGAGAAGCAGCTGGGACCTGTTGATTTGAATACTAGCCAAACAAGTAAAAGAGACGGACCTGCATTTGACATAGTGACTAATCAACTCTTGTCAATATAGAGTTGTACATAAAGAGATCTACATTGTGTGTATACTATATACAGTCTTCATTCCTTCAACTGTTGTGCATATACTGCCTCTCTCTTTGGCTCATGGCTGAGCTAAGTAGGAGTAGCTGTAAGATGGAGAGAAGATTAGTAAGTGTTGATACTTGTAACTTGGTGTTTATGTTAATAAATGGGTGTCACTTTGTACCAACCAATACAACACATAGATACATGTCTGTATGTACATTGACTCCCATTTTGATCTCATTACCTAACTATTGTTTGAAGCCCCACTCTTTCTTTTTACTAATAGTATTCTTTCCTGTTTTATGATATATTTCCTTCTTCCTCATACCTTCCTCCATCTTTATCTTTATGATGTTCTCTCCCCTTTTCTCTCTCTCTCTCTCTCTCTCTCTCAGCGTCCTCGTGTTTCAAAATGCTACAGTGAAAGCTTGTACGATGAAGAAGAGGAAGAAGGTAGGGAAGGAAGGAGCTATAGTAGCAGTAGTGGAGGTGGAAGGAGAAGAATGTCAAGCTTTAGTTATAACATCCTGGAAAAGCTGAAGGAGGAGAGATTCACCAAGGAGAATGGGCTAGTCAAGCACTTTCCTGATGGGACAAGTAATCTAATGATGTAATATTACAATTATGGTCTCCCCCTTCTTTCTTTCTCTCTCTTTGATCACTCATCAATTTATTGATGTATTTACTCATTAAAAATAGATTTATCTTGTAAATATCTTCAATCGACTGGTTTTCTTTCTCCAATGGTTTTCCATAGCAAAGAAGGACTGCAGATGAAGTAATTCTTATAATAGATAAATAAATTAATATAATAATAATAATAATAATAATAATAATAATAATAATAATAACAATAATAATAATAGTAAAATAATAATGATACTAATAATAATAATTATTGATAATGATAATGATGATTATTATTTGTAGGCTCCCACCTCATGGTTTTTCTGTACATGATGTAAAGCACCTAGTTGGTAAGTAGCCATTATACTTTCTCCTCTTTTCTCTCTCTCTCTCTCTCTCTCTCTCTCTCTCTCTCTCTCTCTCTCTCTCTCTCTCTCTCTCTCTCTCTC